ATTGCCCTTAGAATAGGTATTAAGGTATCTACATCGTAGTTATAATGTTCACTCAAGCTAGCACAGTGCAGATGCATCACTTACTCATGTTGATATTGAAAAGGTGAAATAGCCATTAAAAATATCCTGTATTTTGTAGTTATTCTGCAGCTCTCCATAAAAGAGGTGTTTGTTGTGTACTGGGTTCTTAGCTAAGGAGTTCTTGAGTTTATAAAGAAGTTGATATAAAAGATGAAGTTTTCATGTCTTGTGTTGTGACAGTATTATTTGTTTATTTTTTTGCTATCTTTTGGAAGAACCCAGCTTTAAACAAAATTTTCTGTATTTAATTGAAATAGTGAAGAATATTTTGGAGTTTCTCCTCATTAGAAAATGTGTTTAGTTTTTTTTGTCTAATTCTTTAAGCATGAAAATTATAAAGGCATTATGCATTTGTATTTCTTGATTTTAACAGTAAAATGACATGGAATGGTATGGAGGTAAAGGAAAGGAGGGGAAGACCCAAGAACCATGTTCATGTGAGTGAAGAGGAGAAGCTGGCAAGGCAAAGGGAAAGAAACAGACTGTGTAAGAGATGTAGTCGGGCATCCAAATCGCAAGAAGCAACTTCAAGAGAAAGGGAACGGAACAGGTTGTATATGAGAAAATTCCGGGCGTCACTAAGAAATGAACTTGAAAGAGATCGGGACAAAGCACACAAACATATGGCCTTCATGTTTGTAACACCTGAATTGTCTGAACTATGTGGGGAAGATGACGTGGAAATGTGGCATGAGAGAAACAGGAAAGCTAGAAGGAAGCCTATTATAGCTCTGATTCCTCAACAGCTTGAATGGCAAAGGGAACAAAAGAGGATATACATCATGAAGTTTTGTGCATCTCTTTCAGATGAAGAACTTGAAAGGCGTCGTGAAAAGGATAGATTACTTAAGAGGAGAGCAAAAGAAATCATGAAGGAACGAAAGCAGGATATCACATTCCAAGGAGGGTCTCAAGCTCAGCATCACATTCTGCAGAACAGAAACTTCTGGAATTATGCAGCATTGGCGAAGGAACAAAATTTGTTAATCTGAATAATTTTTAAACATCTATCATGTATGAAAATGTTAACAGTCTTCATGAGAACCTGGAACTAAGTGTGGAGTCAGAAGAAGGAAAAAATTGTTTTTAGAAGAACAGGTATTTGAAAATCTTTGCTGTTCTTCAGATTACATGCACTTGAAAGTGCTAGTATTTGTTGATGCTGTGGTTTTCCCTTCCTTGAAATATTGTCTCATTTCTATCATGAATGATACACTGCTCATTCTCACACAGTAAATTCTTGGTTATATTTATGGAAAGAAAGTCTTAATTTTTTTAGTAATAATAGGAAATTCAGAAAGAGGTGGAATATATTTCATTTAAAACATTTTTAGTGAAGTTAAAATTTTGTAAATATGGTTTAAAAGAAGGCATGTCAGTGATTTTGCTTAGTGTCCATGGTACTGGATGTATTTTGAGATGTAAAGGCAGCTGTAACTTGAAGGTTAACACACATCTTGGGTCTTTAGTCTTTAAGAATGCTGTACTTTCACCCCCTCACTATGCCTTCCTGACGATGTGCTTACAGATTTTTACCTCTGTTTTACCTTAAGAGAACTCAGAAAAGTCATTAACATTAATTCATATTTTTCTACAAATTAGGCAGACCTATTGCCATCTTTAACAGACATCTGGCACAAATCATTGTAGTTAATGGAAGGTACAGAAAATCCACATATGGACAGATATAGGAAGATTGTAAATTACTTGAATTTTGACACCAACCAACTGTATGCTTATGTCTCTTTTGGTGTGACACCATTTTAATTCATTAAAAATGGAATTCACTCTTTCTTGTGATAGATCTGTGTTAAATGTTGGGAGAAAATAAGTGCTTATTGCCAGTGTTATTGTGAAATGAATTTTCAATGCTGAAGCGTATCATATCCATTTGATCCCATCAGGCGCTTGGCATTATTTATCAAAGAGAAGCAGTATAAGTTGTTTGTAGTAAATAGAACCCTGATTCTGCACTGACAGTTTGGTAGTCAGGGGAGATAGATATAATTTTTTATAATCTGATTTTAAATGGCTCATACAAGAGGTACACTGAGATAGACACCTCCATCAGGCTGTTCATTTGTCTTAAAACATGTTTAACAGAGCCCAAAAAATGGCTGTCTTCTGGATTATATTGTCATGGAGTTGTCTAGAAGCTTTCAGAGGTTCTTGCTGTCTCCGTCATCTGCAACATTGGCAGACTTTTACCAGACTACATGGTGCTACAGCACAGAAGACAGTCATCTTTGGACTCATCATCATGAAAACTTCAAATCATGCTTAACAGAGGTATATTTACAATAAACAAGTTATATAAGATATGCAGTGTGCATGGTTTCAGTACTCCAAGAATTATCCATACTTGGTAGACAGAAAAATTCTAGTTCAGTCTGCTCATGTTGAATCCAGAGGTAATAAAACCATGTATAAAGTGAAAGGAATGTGTTGGTTGTTCTGTACTGAGTGTTGAAATGGTGGTGGCTGGTGGAGACATGTGTGACATTAGGTAGTGCAGTGAATGAGAAGGAACAGAGCTTCTCATATGGCCTCTAGCTATGTGCTGCATTCATCGCTTCCATTCCCATTTGTATTTATTGCAATTCATACCTGTAATTCTAATATTATTATATAGCAAATGGTCTTCCTTGAGCAGTTCATAACTGTTCTTCTGGTCAAGAACATCTCTACTGTTATGTAGCATATAGTTTATCACCATCACAAAAATCTGGTGTTTGGATTGTTTTGTACTATGATAGAGTAATGTTATAAAGCTGTCCCACTATACACCATGTAGGCACTTTGAGGGAGAGAGTATAGTTCCTCTTCATTCTTGACCCCGGCACTGGATGGGGTGAGTGGTCAGTATCACGCCTCGGCCACACTTTACCCCTGGGAAAGGACCCCAGTACCGTTGGTTAGGAGGCTGGGTGGGCCCCAGAGCTGGTCTGGACACAGGCTAGAGGAAAAATCCTCTGCCCCCATCAGGGTTCAAACCCCGGTCGTAAAGTATGTAGCGAGTTGCTATACTGACTGAGCTATTCCAGCTTCTATGATAGAGTACAAAACTTAATTCTTCAACTGTCTACAGCGTGACTTTGGGATGGGAGAAATTTTGTAGTTGAATTTATATTCTCTGGATATGGTACAGTGGTGGGCTTTTTGGTGAAGGTAATGTACACTGGGATTTCTTAATATCAACATTTTTTGATTAGTTGAATAAGTTTCAACTGCTCAGGAAGTGGGTTAGTAATGTGTATGAATTGTTTCACATACGGATGAAATAACTTGGGTTACTTAGTGCCAAGGCATCATAAGGATAAGTAAGCAATGGAACAGGCACATGACATAAGGGCAGAGGTTGGTAAAGAACGCAGGCAGGATGTACATCTATTATACCTGATACTGAAAATGTCAGTAGACACATTTTATATCTAACATCTGCAAGGACATGTTATACAGTCTTGTTACACATTATATGGAAACAGATATTAATTAAATTTGTTCACATGCTTGTTATTATTCCTCTTGCAATACAGGACAGCTTCCTATGTAGATATGAATCTGGTTCCACTTTGACAGATGTCACATTCCATATGTGTAATGGGAACAAATATTATTTTGCAAAATAAAGTGATTTTATTATACTTTTACAAGTTCTCTGAAGGTGTTTGTTGGTTATGTTAACAGCATGATAGATGTATGGTGTATGTAAAAAAGTTATGTGTTTAATAATGTATTTTCTTGATTCTAAGACACTGATTTTTCACAGTTTAAGATTTCAGAAATTGGGGTGTGTCTTGCATTTGATGGCATCTAAGCATTTATATAGCATCTTTATTCCTGAAATCTTATTATTGAATCAAGGGTATATCTTACAACTGATGGCATCTTAAAATTGAGTGAATGCTGTATTTACTTACAACCATTGGATGTCAGAAAGTTATATGTATGTATGTATATATGTGTGTGTGTGTGTATGTTGTATTTATTTGAATGTAAGTTAACTATAATGTAAGAGAACTATGAGATGTTTGTTATAAAAGAAACTATAAATATGAACCTAATGTGTTGCTTATGTGCTGTTAGATACTTAAATTGGTAACATTTTCTCCATCACATCCTTTTCCCTTAATTCCATTCAGTTATTTGAGGAGCTTCACATTGAGAATAATGTTTACTGGCTTTGATGCTGCTTATTGCCAACATGAAAATATGCTCAGTTCTTATTTTAGGCGACTTATAACATGTTGAATTCGTCGTGTCTGTTCAAATGAGCAGAATTTAATGAAGTTTGGTAGAATCTATTAAATTTCAACAGCTGAATGTAATTTTGGTCCAGATTGGACAAAATGGATTACCATTTTGGTGTTCAGTACTTTGTACATAGGACCACACGCCATGTAATATCAGGTTGTTGCTGAGTGTATCCTCATTCAGTATACATTTCTAGTACTTTAGTTTATTTACATTATAGTCCTCTTGAATTCCAGTTTTCTTTACCCACCTTCCCAATTTACATTGAACTCTGTACAAAAATGATTCCATATATTTTATGGTAACTTTATTTTTTACAACTTAACATTTATCTGCACACTGCTTCTTCATTAATATCTAACCGTTGTTTACAGAACGTTTCTTTTCTCCAGTTATCAGTTTATGACCCTCCAATAGAATATTTTTATTGTCCTCCTCCTCTAAACATAAGTGGCACATTCCTTTTTCATTGTTTCCTCTTATTCTGTATAGTCTTGTCTGCCTCACTTTTGTTTTTGTCTTGATAAGATACCAGTAACATCTTTGCAGATAACCTAGTAAAGAAATCCTGTTTTCTAATATCATAACATCTTTCTTTCACAGCCCTACAAATTCTGTTGTAATTTACACACTTCTACCAGATAAATGCCAGATCAGTCATTTCCAGTTCCTCTTCTACTTTTTTTATCAACTTTCAAAACATAATATTATCTCTTTGCCAGACATAGCACTTCTTGACTACCCCATGACTGTCCACTCTTAAAATTCTGTTCCACTCATACAAACTGAATTTTATTACTTCTTAAGTTTTCTACAAATTCTCCTTCTGTTTTTACAAACTATACTACTGCCACCTTAATTCCTTATAGGTTCAATGATTACATTATCCTCTAACACATTACCAAGGGCTACTGATTAGTTCTGTTCCTGTTCTGAAATCTGTTAATTAACCTATTATGTCATCTGAAACTAGAGCATAATCAAAATTTCTTCCTATTTGACCAATAAATATGTATTTGCCTGCAGTATCAGACCCATATACATAATTTAGAATTGAAAGGTTTGTCTCTCAAAAAATTCTATGAACGTGCTACCTTGTAACTTATGAAACTTGTCCTTGATGGCTCTACTAGCAAGGATACATTGAAATTGATTCGTAGAATAACATGTAGACTATGTGTGTGAAGAATGCCCCCAAAATTTGTCTTCCAAGCCTCTGGTCATTGTGTTTGTCTGAACCCTTGCCTTTATGTCAGGAATGAAATGGTGATTCTTTTTGAAAAAATTTGTGTGATATAATGCCTATTTTATATAAAAACTTTATAATATTTATGAAACTGATTTGAATACAGAATGATTATTATCAAATTTGTGCCCACAAATTTTGTGCACTGGTTCTCAGGATCTTTTGCATCCTTGGGAGGAATCTGGTTAATGTCTAATCATGCTTAGCTGTATGAAAGCTGGTTTTCTAAATATGTTTGCTATTCAGATTGCGTGTCAGAATTCACAACACATTCTTTATCCCTTCTCTTGATGTAGCATTGTGTTAGTATCTGATAATCTTGAGTTAAAAATTCATATTTCCCCATGGGAATTTTACAGTGGAAATTATACTGAATGTAATTTTCTTTGTCAAGATTAGTTTTGGAATGGAATAGATTGATGCAAATTTGAGCATAAATATTGTTTGTTTTTACGCTGTGTTTCCTAAAAAATGTTTATAAATTACTATATTTCCAGGTGTGTAAGACACTGTTCATTTTCCAAAAGTTGCCCAAAAACTGCATCGTGTTTAAACATTGAGTAGTAATGATGGACAGTTATAGTGAAAATTACATTGATGAAGGGGAACACTGAAATAATTCGAAAATATATGGGTATTTCCTTTTCCATACTTCATTGTTGCCTTGCAAAATGTTTACATATATTTTATTTTGTTCATTATGTAAGGCAAAATTGTTTCCTTTTATTAATAATTACTTGTGTTATTAAATAATGGTCTGAGGCGTGGGCTTTGTGCCACTTGGTCGCTGGGACCGTGGGTTTGAATCCCACTCAAGCCATGGATGTTTGTCCTTGTTTTTCCGTGTTGTGCTGTCCTGTGTATAGGTAGAGGCTTTGCGACGGGCCGATCCCTCGTCCAAGGAGTCCTACCGAATGTCTATAGATCAAGCCAACGAAAAGTTGGGACCCGTAGTGCTCAGGCACTTGAAGAACGGTTCGTTCCCAGTATCCAGTATTCCAGTTTTTAAATAATAATATTATATTTTGTTCCCTGAGATCTGAAGTTTTCATGGCTTCAAAGATGTTGATGTTGATATTCTGGGTTGTGATGTGTGGACTTGTTAGTGGATACCAACATTTTGGAGAAACAAAACAGTCAACCAGTTTTCTCAGTTGTTCTTAAAGATGATAAGTGTTATTTATTAGAACTGAAATGCACACACAGAATTATAAGGTGTTATATTTTTATTCTGTTCTGTTGCTGTTGATACTGACTGTCATACCTTAACAGTATTATGTACAAATGAATGCCATTTTCATGTTCTCACTTCTACTTGAACTTGACTGTTACAAGACCAGTAACATACTGAGCAGTGTTGCTGTTACTTGGTAATATTGTACACAGTCTCACTGTCTTGTACATCTCACCTGAAATAATTAAATACCATAAAAACTGAATTACTTAGTTTTACAAACTGTGATAAATCTTTGTTTCTCCATTTTTAAAAATACAGTATGTTACTGGTGAACAAACTATTTGTACAAAATAAGTATATTAAACTGTGAAAGCCACAAGAGGAAGCATATGGTGTGATTGTTAAGGCTACCAATATCTTTAACTCTCTATATGGCAATCCATGTTATTCTCTGCCTCACTCAAGAACAGTCCTGATATAAACAAAGAGGAGGCACAATTATTTTTTGCACATCACAAGATGAAAGGAAGATTGGTGTTATTATATTAACCTGTTACTTTGTAATAATTTTTGTTGTTTGTTGGCCAGGGGTTATACAGTTTGTTGTATTATGTTTGATATACTTTCTATGAATTTAATAATGCTTTGCATGAATTAATTTTAAGCATCCTGGACAAAACATACATTATCAGTTGACCATGCAATATATGTGTAAGAATAAATTAATGGGTGAATGAATGACACTCTATTCTTCAAGGTTTACAGTTTCTTAATACTGATCAGAAAGTGACATTTCTTAATTAGGTGGTTACAAACAGAAACAGTTTTCTTAGGAAAGTAAAAAGTAAAGTAAAGCTGTCCTTCTGCACGCCATGTAGGTCGTTTGGTGGGAGTGGAGGTATGGCTCCTACTCATTCTTGACCTCGGCACTAGATGGGGATCAGTGGTCAGCATCATGCCCAGTCGCGCTTTACCCCTGAGAAAGGACCCCAGTACCCACTGGATAGGAGGCTGGCTGGGCCACAGAGCCGGTCTGGACAAAAAGGCTAGAGGAAAAATCCTTTGCCCTTGTTGGGGATCAAACCCCAGTCATCCAGCCCATAGCTAGTCACTGTACTGACTGAGCTATCCTAGCTTCTAGATTTCCTACGAAAACCTTTCATATTTACAATTTGTGCCATTTGAAAGTTAAAAATGGCATGAAATGTTTTCAGATATAACACTTTTCTTCAAAACAGAAGTTTATATGTTTTTGCAGAATACTTAACAGAAAGTTGTATGTGACTGTACAATAAAGATAAAAGGTAAGAAAACCAGCTTGAAATGTAAATTAATCTAAATTTGAATCACAAGAAAGGGTACAGAAATGTGGAAAATTACAAGAAGATGAAAGATAAACATTGAAGATACTGGGGAAACACTGGATAAATGTAGTACAATGTGATGCAGTGTTATGTGTGAAACAAGTAGAGAGAATTCATGTACCTCCCATGCAGGAAGAACAGACAACTGTATTAGCATAAGATATTGAAACCAGTTTATATATTCTGTTCTGAATTTTATAATTATTCCAGTCCATTTTACTCTGTGTCAACATCGGGGGGTGAAGGTACTTCTGGGTTTCATATTTTGTTTGCTATACATTTTTTAAAACTTCCATTTTGTAATGGCACATAGCAATGTTCCTTTCTGGTTTTATAGGAGATAAACAATTTTTTGTTATGGAATTTTATTCCAAGGTTACGTTTCTTTTGAGTTCTTGAGGGTTTTGAAATCTTTTTACCAAACCACAAAAGTTATGTATGGGGTTATTCTTTAGGCTTTAGTACAGTATATGAGCTTTCCTTCCTGGCTGTAGTCTGTCTATTCAAAACATATGTTACTTGGTTTGAATCTCTGTGACATTACCAGCTATCCTGATTTAACTTTCGTTGGTTGTCTTTTGTGTCTTTAGGCAGATGTCATGAAAATGCTTTGAGAATGATAGTGGTAAAATACTTTCAAATCCTTTCATTCAACACCGTGACCTTTACAGTTGAATCATTATTATTAAATCTAAGAATGATAATTATCAGTTTATGGGTAAATATAAAGTTGTCATGTCTAAGCACCATGTCATGAAGGTAGAGGTGGAGTGGAGGTGAAGCTCCATGCAGTCTTAATACATGCGCTAGAGGGAGGTGAATGATAAGCTTCATGTCAAGGATGAGGAAAGATTCTCTGTTATCCATGCCCCAGAACTGGTTTAGATTAGTCATGAAGAGAAAATCTGGAATGAAAACCCAGTTATCCAAGTAGTAGGGCAGCACCTTATATCTTGCCTAATGGCTGTACACTTCCTTATTTCAGCATTCAGAAGGCCATCAAGCTTGCATCAGATAG